ATTATCTAGCACTTCATTCCTTAATCTCAGTTGGTCATCATTATTTCACAGATATCATTCCTATTTGTACAAAGGCAACTCTAAGTATAAGTTCATTGAGGGTATGGAATCTGTTCCAGGAATCTGGCACAACATTGGGGATTTAGCGGATTATAATAGTTTACATTGAGAACTCCTATACCAGGCACTATTCTGAACTCTTTACAGACATTAACACACTTAACTTTCACAAGTACCACCCAAGCAGTTAGTGTAGTTAATACCCCTATTTTATAAATAACGAACTTGAGGCACTGGAAGGTAAGCAGCTAGACTAAGCTCAGAGAGTTATTAAGAACCAGGATGCAAAATCAGGCAGTCTTTTAAAATCTCATTTCTCTATGAAAAAAAAAAATTAAAAAATGGGGCCAATAGTTGCTTCTCATAGTGTATACCTGGCATATAGCAGTTTCTCAATAAGTTTTACGGTGATGAATTGACGACTCAACTATTAATTTTACTTCGTTCCATTGTTTGCCCTTCGCCCTCCATTTCCAGCAGGTGAGCCAGGCTTTAGGTTTGCCTGCCCAGGCAGTTTGGCAGGGAATGTAAAGTTTCCTGTCTTTTGTAATAGCCTAAACCAGAAGAGCAAACTGAAGGCAGGTTGACTGAATTTAACCTTCCAGATACTTTATTTAACCTGCACGCTATTTTAAGAAAAAACTGAATTAGTTGCCAATGTAAACAATAGGTACAGAAAACAGATCAGTGGTTGCCAGGGGCTGGGGAATGAAGGAGAATGAAATATAAAGGGGCAGGGGTGATGGTACATAACTATATGCAGTTGTTAAAACTCATAGAACCATACAGTGAAAAGAGTGCATTTTACTGGATGTAAATTACACATCAGTAAAATTGGGTCTTAGAGATGGATTCCCAGGCAATCTGGGGTTCTGACCTTGAAATACGCTCAGCATTGAGCACTCTCTTCCTTTAAGTCCTAGCTGCTGGTTAGCTGGTGCCCCAACACCACACAATTCTCTATATTTCTAGAGCAGCAGCACTGGATGTCATTTCTTACTCTCAGGTCTAGCCAAGTAGCAACAGCTACTGAGTGGCTTGAATTAGGTTTTTCGTTTTTTTTGTTTTTGTTTTTTTAAAGAGGAGAATGGGTAGAAAATAGACAGGGGGAAGAGAGGCCAAACAGTGAAGTGAGACAGGAGAAAAGACAGACCTGATTTTATTCTCTGCTTCCAAGTCTCCTGGCAGAACCTGAAGAGTACACAGGTAGGAGAGTCCTAACCAAGGCAGACTAACCCAGAGTTTGAGACAGGCGAGCAGCAGATAAGCTCCATTTCCTAGGGTTGGTTTTCTAATTCTTTCAGCCTTGAAGATCTTGAGGAGAGATAAGAAAATTTATTTTTGATTTTGGGTCACTCATCTGGATACAAAGCCCTGTAAAAGCAAACACCCATGAGGCAGTCTCTTGCTCTCCAAATCCAGTGAACCTCTTGAAGGGGTGATATCAAGATGGAGAGGCGGGCACTACAGTCCAGTTCTGCTTGGAGTACAGTTGGGAGGAAAATGGGCATTAGAGCAGCTGTTTACCTCCAGCAGCCCTGACAAGTCCTCCCCAACCCCTGATCCCATGTTCCCCTGGGATGCTCTTCCAGGCATTTTTACACTAAGTATGTCCAAATTCTTCACACCTGGAGGACTGTGGTCTACAGTGAACGCTGACCCAACAGGAGGAGAACATTTCCGTATTCAGTGTAAGGATCTCTTCTAATTACTCAACTCCTGGTTGCTCATTGGGTCCATCTTTTGAGACCTAATACATGCCAGGCATCATTCTAGATGTAGGAATACAGGCATGAACATGACAAAAATCCTGTCCTTAATGTTTTACATTCTTGTGGCAGAGTGGAGCAGACAGTAAATAAATAAAATTTGTCAGATTGGGATACTTGCTATGGTGAAAAATAAAACTGGAAAGGAAATAAATAAGGGAAGGGAGAGAGGTTCTATTTAAAAGAATTAGTCAGAGGTGAAATTTGAGCAGAGTTCTGAAGATTGTGAGGGAAGGACACTGCAGCTATCTGGGGCAACTGTGTACTAAGCACAGAGGACAGTAAATTCTAGTCCCATCCAGGGCACAGGTGATTTTCAGGGGGTAGTGATGAAAAATGGGGAATGGATATATCTTTTTCTTTCCTAGTTGTAATAAGCATATACAAATTTACTACGAACTAAGGCAGTTTTATCCAATGTTTCCGGCAGCTACCCACATAACAAATATACTTTATATTGCCAATATTCATATACATGCATATAACAAGCTTCGCACATAATCTAATTTTATTACACATAATGCACTCTATTTTCTATTCTATTCCAATTTTTTAAAAAATGCTGGTTATAATCCACTAAATTCATATCAAGAGCTAGTAGGTTGCAACCTAGGTTTAAACTACGTTGATCATGTTAAGTCTCACTGGCAAAAACCTTACCTCTCCTGGATTTAACATCATCCTAAGGGTTGAATGTCCATTAGGAGTCTTTGCATTGGTAGAGCACATGTGCATACGAGCTGTGTCACAGATGACATTAGTGCTCAGCTCACATTAGCTCTAAGCCAACAGTTCAGACGACTCTCCTGCTACTCTTTCCTTGATTATGAGCAGGGTTGGTTTTAGCTTCAATCTGGAAGCTTGGGTCAGCATTAAAGCATCAGCCTGCAACATCTAAAAGCAAAATACCTTTTTCATACCTCATTGGGAATGCTGGCTTCTAATGGGAAGTTGGATGGAGTTCATCTTGTAGCATGACTTTTGAAAGTCATGCTACAGATATAAACATACACATACATACACACACGTATATATAATTGGAGGGGTAGTCAAGGGGTGAGGAACCGTCCATTAACAGCCTCTCCTTCAGTATTTTCTTGCCAGGTACAATTCCTGGGGTCCACTTCTTGAGCTGTGCAATGCTGCCATGAATGTCACATATGGATCCAAGACTAGAGGTCGGGAACTGCCCACATTAATATAATTGCTTGGTGAGCCACCTCTGCTTGCTGGCCTACAGCCTATGCTGTTTGCACAGCCCTCTGCCTGAGCCTACCAGCCAGCACCCTTGTGAGTAAAATGAGACCAATTTTCAATCTTCACCTCTGTGTAATACCTCTGGGGTTCACATTGACATGGCTTCCCTGAGAAGCCCTTCATAATGGATAATATAAGGGTGTCTGGCTGCTTAAATATCCAGGGCCTGTTGGTAGTTTATTAGTTGAGGAGGGAAGAGACCGTGGTTTAAACTTAGCTAAGAGCATGCAATGTAAAGTCAGAGGCCAAGGAAAGGGAAAAAGTCCAGCTGTTAAGAGTAAGAGATATGCTGCTGTACTCAACTATATCAGAATAAAGATGGCCAGCAGAGGAGCTTTGGTAGGTCTTACGTCTCCCCTGGAAGCAGTCTCATGGGAACACCTACTGAAAGAAACTATTAAAGATAAAAGAAATGTATGAACAGAGGTTGATTCTGAAGTCTTAATAACACAAGAGAGTACTAACAGTGGTCCAAGAAAAAGCATGATTTCAGTATCTGCAAAAATCCTCGGCTGGGCCGAGCTGAAGGCAAACCATTTTTCTGAGCATCCTGGAGACTAAGAAAAGATGCAGGTAGTCTAATTTCATCTTTTAGGTCTGTTAGCTGCTGCCTGTGTGACAAAGGTCTAAAAGCAATGGTCAAAGCCTTACTATGGCTGGAAAATTCTCGACTTGTGAAAATTGTCCCTTTTCCTCTTTTAAGAATAGACCATAATACATTATTGAATTTGGGCTTGTTTGAAGGAGGTTAAAAAAAAAAACAGATAGTGAGTCCAAATTCCTTGAAGGTGTCAGACGTTCTAAAACAGTGGTGCTCAGAAAAAACAAATGATGTTTTTTCAGAGTCAGACTCTGAAAGAGTATCATGTACTTTGGTATGTTTTTCAAAAGTTGGTGATGAGTTTTTTTTCCCTTTGTGTGAGATGTTAATAATAAATTCTGGTTATTAAATGGTAAGATTAGAGGCAAAACATGCTTGATAAATCATTAACTGTTTCTTCACAAATTATCTGGTCTAAACCAACCTAATGATGAATAGCTCAGCAGTCAAATCGTTTATAGGCATTAGGGGCAGTTTTAAAAACACCTGAGCTCATAAAATGTTAAGTATATTAAATACTATAAAATAATTCAGACATAGGAATTGTATGAAAATCTTATGAAAAGGATATCTTTGCTCAACAGACTATAAAAGGAAATATCAGGAATTCTGTAATTTAAAAAACTGAAAATCTGAGAGGGCAACTGACTTGCTCAAGCCAAAGTGCTATAAAGAACAAAGTCAGAATTTTAACCTATGTCTCCTAACTCCTAGTTCAGTATATGGTCCACTAAACCACAGTGTACTCTTCAAGTACAGGCTGTTAACACTTGCTATGCAATCAGCAGCATATCAGAAAAGTGGCATCACCATGGACTGTCAGCCAAGAATAACCTAGATGTATCACTCATTGACACGCCATTTTATATGTGCTCCTTTCTGATATAGCATCGGAGGCTCAAGATTCAATCTGAAGGCCTAGAAAACCAAACTAAACATAAGATTTAGAGGAAGTCCCCTTAGTAAAAAGTCATGGGAACAGAGTTTGGAATAGATATTGGTGAAGTGAGAACAGCACGTTCAGTAGTGATGTCATTTCTCAAACCTGAAACTGTTGTTATAACCTGTAACTGAAAACCTCGCTGAAAGCTCCTTCCTCAAGCCTGAAAATGCTTTTCTTATCAGTTAAAAACATGAACAGGGGAGAGGAGAGGATCTACAAGACATTTATTATGAAAATATTCTTTTGTAAGCAAGTAGCAGCTTGGGTGTTTGACAGAAGGGGAAATCCCAGTGTTTGGGACTTTATAACTTTGAGATGAGAAACTTAATTTTGTCTTTCACTGGAGTCAACTCAAACTGGGGAGATAACATGACAATTTTGAGATTCATATTTTATTTACAAGCAAATAAAGAATGTCCCTTGTAAACTCTAATTTGGGCTGAGAAGAGCAATATAAAGAAGTAGTTGCTGGCTCCACAGTGATTGGTGAAAGGAGTCCATCCCACTGTTCTTTTAAATAATGACTTTGTTATTAAATAGAAAAAAAAAGCCACATGATTTCTTCATGTTGTATATATGTGAAAGAATTCAAAAGAAAAATGTCTTTTCAAAATTCTCCAGTCTCTAGTTAAATGTGTGAAGTGGCTAGAATACCACATTCATTCAGTGATAGCCCCTGTTCCCCAAAAGAAGTAGCCTCTGAGCAGAAGACTTAATACTCATCAAGAGTGTCTGCTCGAGGAATGGAGAGACCTCGATCCTTAAGAGCCTGAACCTTCAGCTTCTCGGCTTCCAGCTTGGTCTGCTGTTCTACCCTTTGTTCTTCTAGTATTTCTTCAATAGACACTTGCTGGAGGGGTGTGTCACTTTCCTTTTCCAAGTCCTACAAAACAAGCAGGTTCGAAAAACTTCAACTGATGACCAAGAATAGAAAACATTACAGATCTAAAGGCAATGGATTCCTATGTGAGGCTTCCGTTATTTTTCATAATGGCTAACAAGGCCTTCTCCTAGAGACAGATAAATTTTACAAATAATGGCTGGCAACACTACTATAGAATACATACTTACAGGAATGTGGTAACAGAAATCAGTAAAAGTGTATAACAAAGCTTAAGGTGGTCTGAAGTCTTACATTAGCCAAGGACTACTATCTCTCCAACTCCAGAGACTCCAAAGACAAATTCCTGAGGCTAAGATGGCTTTAGATAAGTTTTGTATTTTTACATTATCAAAGTCAGCTTAATGTCTAGGGGTTGTTGCTCAATAAGAAGCACTCCTCTCCCTCAAAGGCAAAAAACTGTTCCTCTGTTGCATTAACTAGGAGTCTTTAAATTATAACACAAGACTCATTTCCCCTCTATGGCAAGAAGTCTTCTAGAGAAAACCTCAGCAGACTGGTTAGATTACTAAGCCTATCTGGGCCCAATATATTTCTCTATTTTAATTAAAAATTATTTTGCTTGCTAAAAAAATTATTTTCCTCTCATTTCAAAAATACATGCTCATTGTATGAAATTTAGAAAACAATTAGAAAAAAGATTTTAAAAAAATTACCCATAATTCCAGTATGGAGGGATAACATTTTGGTGACTATCCTTCCAATTTTTCCATGTATATATTTTCAAAAAAACCCACAATGAAAATATTGACTGTAATTTTTTTCACTTAATATGGCACCATATACCATAATATGCTTAATATTTTTATTTTTTTAACATCTCATCAACATTTGATAACCAATCTTGTAATGCAGAATCTTGCTATAAAAGTATCTCACTATCCCAGATTTATTCAGTTCATTCTCTTTAAAATGAACTATAAGTATTATTCTGTGTTTTTGAAACTGGAAAGCCTATACGAACAGGGTATTCTTATTTCTTATCCTCTTCTCTTTCGGTGATAAAATTCTGGGAAGCATTAACACATACACAAACTCTTCAGATGTTCCAATCTATCACTGGATATTAATCTTCATACGTTACCAAAGCCTCAGAACCCACAGGCTGTGACATTATCAAATGGAGGACTCTCATCAGAGAGGTTAGAATGAAAGCCACAGAGATCACATAAACAAACCCTGCCTTGGGTCAAATGTTAACTGCACCCAGCAAAACCTTTGTTATCAAGTGTAACCTGCCTTCACAACCCACAGGTAGCAGCTGAAAGGAAGATCACATTCTTAGCTCAGTGTTCTGCCTCTTAACTTTTCAGTATATTACTTATGCAGCTATTCATGTAGTTATGATGCTGCTTCCCAACAATCAGTCTTGTTACTTAAGACTGTGTTCATCACCATCCTTGAGGCAGAATCCAGGGACTTCTTAAGCAATAGAATGTTTATACAATCCAGATGGTTTCTGGGTATGAGTTTCCCTATGGTTGGCACTTAATTTCTTCCAACTGACTATTGATTCATATAACTATGTAAACATTCCTGAACCATATTTCTTTGGTGGAACCACTGTAAAATTCTGCAGCATCCAAACCATAATATAGAAATAAAAGTACTTTTCTCTACAAAAGGGCTCCAGGAAACAATGAATCTTCAAGAACAAATGCAAGTTCACGTCTTCTCACATACACATCTACATAGGGGCACATCTGTGCCACTATAATTGGCACAGAAAGCATTTCTATAATGTTCACTACTATAAAACTGAAGCAGAGTATGTATAAATAATTTAACTTAAATCAAAATAATGTTTCCTCTTTAAAAACTAAATTCAGAAAAGTATAAAAAAAGGAAAAAATAATCACCCATAATCCTGCTGTCCAGAGATCAGTTAGTTCCTCTTAATATACTGGCAAACCAGTTCACAGTCATTTATTACTCCTTCCTCCTAGCCCTGAGTACTATAATGCTTTATTTCAACCTTTACATAATACAAGGCGATGACAATTTCTGTTTCATAAACATGCAAGAAATAATACACTGAACCCAAAAGATCAACCACTAAAATATTTTAAAAATTAGAAAAAGGTAGTTCATATATTTCATAGCAGCACTTGGGCAGTATTGATTAGTCATTCCTAGCTGTTTCAACAGAAGGTCTCTACAACAATCTGACCCTGCAGAATTATCTCCTTACTTTCTCAAATGGCTTATTAAAAATAGCTATGGGGTGGCTCTATAGTGTAGTGGTTAGCATGTCTGCTTTACATGCAGAAGGTCCTCGGTTCGCACCCCAGGTAGAGCCACAAACCATACCTTGGATGTGCCAGGCCGGGGAGGCGCGCCGATAGCGCATGGGAGGAGACACCCCGCCTTCAGAGATCCAGTTCTTAAGGGGAGATGGCAACATCCGTAGGTCAGGGGCGGAAGTGGGGTGTGGGGGGGAATTAAAGAGGGGGAAAAAATTAAAAAATAATAATAATAATAATAAAATAAAAAAATAGCTATGGACAAAACCACTCCACTCCAAAGATTTCTGAAAACCTGATTTAAGATATGTCTAGGTATTGGGAAACTTTATTAAAAACTTTAAAAACAAAATCGAAAATCAAGCAAATGTCAAAATTTTTTGTTCGTTTTCCTGACAAACTCAATACTCAGAAGCAGCAGGATCAAATCAAAGGTTTTAAATGAGGTACTTTTCTTTTTAAGTAATGTTTCATGTAAAACATGAAATCAAATTTATTTTCTTTTAAAATGTCTGAGTTTTCCTAATAATTTTTTATATATATAGTTTTCTAACACTTTTGTATGTATATATGCAAATGTATGTGTATGTATATGTACATACACACACCCCTACAGTAACAGCACTTTATAACATTTAAGTTTTCAACTGCCAGCTGTCTTCCTGGCACAGATACAAAGGGACCTCCTCCTTGGCTGTAAGCTAAGGATTCAAGTGAAGCTGGGCTCCACCGTCAGGATAGTTCATTGAAAGGTTTCTCTGATAGCCACTCTTTGCTCTTCCCCACTTTAAAAATGTGGATATCACATTGTATGTGCAATGCGTCTCCCCCCACCAAACATGGCTAATTAACTTTTTTCATGAAAAACTACTTTAAATGACTGCAAAATATTCCAATGTATATAAATCTTACTTTATTCAATTATTCTTCTTAAGTTTTTTAATTTTCTGATATTGAGATAGCAGAAATAATATATTAATGAATACATTTGTATGGGATGATATTTATTTTTTAAGATATCAGGTAAAATCAATGATATTTTGCTGCTAATAGAATCAAATCTTTAAAATGCCAAGAGGCACTGAAACAAAGTTATTCTCTGTAACTTTCCTAAACTAATTTGGTGGTTTTCTATGAAAAGCTGGGTGAAATGTGGCAAGTGTATTTTTTCCTCTTGAAAAGACAAAGAGAAACTTAACTAGCACGATTACCAAGATTCATAGCAACTCAATAGTTTTCACTTACTATTTCTCCTAGTAGGACCACATTTTCGCCTCTGACCACAAAAATCCCTCGAGGAATATCACCGTATTTTTTGCCCACGTGAATACGCTCCACAGTCTGATGTAGCACTAAATTAGCTATAAGTGTATAGGGAAGAAATGAAAATATTTAGTTCAAATTATTGGATAAAGGTCCATAACTCAAGCAGTTATTTTGAGTAGAAAAGATTTGGCTGAATATGATTTCCAAACTTTTTAATTCTGGGAAAAGCTAAAATTTCAAACCTTCTCATATTTCATTAAGACACACCACTTAGGAGACTCAGAACAACTATAAACTGAGAGAGTATCTGGGATTATGTTGCACTAATACATGAATGATGGTGGGAAAAAGTTAAGAAAGTTAAATTTGTTTACCATTAACTGCTAATATCAACATGGCTCTAAGAAAATATAAACGAGTAGGGCACTTGGAAAACTCTAAATTAAACTGCAAAGATTAAAACTCTGGTTATTCAGAAAAAGGAAACAGTTTTTCTATGTTGTGTGGATATGTGTGATGATTTACCAAAGATTTAACTTTGTTTCAGTACTTAGGATTCATTTAACCCAATAAAGGTGTCCATGAATTACAATACAGCAAAAACCTATTTTTTCACTTTGTCAGTAATCTGAGAGTAAAGCCAGTATATATTACTTTTCCTTCAAAGTCTGATGAATTTGACATAAGATTTAGAAACCCAATCTGTTAAGAATATTTTTCTCCTTTCTATTGGTACCCTTTGTCTTATTTGAAGAAAAGCAGATATCTATGCTCTTATCTTCTATAACCTCTTATGAGTGTTTCAGTTATGTTGTTTTTCCTCATGCCTAAATCCACTGACTTCGCAGATGTCCAACATATGTCGATATGAACTGAGAAGTTTCTTGAAACAGATGCAAATATAGATCTCTTTAGAAAAAATGCAAGATGCGAAGACAGAATCTTGTGTCTTATGTATCCCTAAGTGTAAATCTTGAGCTAATGTTGGGGTCCCTAAAAAGCTGCAGGAAATACCTTCTATCCAATCTTCATTGGACAGGAAGGGATTACCTTCGGTGCAAGAATTGCTTTGAAGAGTAGTCACACCCAAGCCAATGTACAAATGAGCAGATTTTTCACAGGACTGAGTTTATTTCTATCATTTGGCTCCCTCTAATGGAGAAAATAAAAAAATAGTCCAAAACATTGTTATCATATGTTCTAGTGAAAACCAGTTTTAGAAATACAGCTTGTAAACATACGTTTTTGAACCATCTAATCATAACTTAAGAAACAATGATATGACTCAAAACAGTATTCCCTTATGCCAGACACGTGAAAAAGTTGCAGACAAATTTCAATATGAAATAAAACAAAAATATAATGAACAGCTCTTATTATCCAAAGTATAAGAGAAATCCATAACTAATACATACCAAATTGATCAATGCTTCTCAAAAAGCCTATAAGCGTCCTTCCATCTCGAAGCAGGACCAAGTGCTTTTCTGGAAATAGGAAAAAAAATCTTTAAAAAATGAAAACTGTTAGCTTCAGTGAATTTACGGTAACAACAAAAATAAAGTTAATAGCAGTTTAAGCTCTACTATTTCTTCCAATGTATTTAAGGTGGTATTCACTGGGAAATTAGAAGGACCAAGGTAGCCTGGGGTTTAAAAAGTTAATGGTGAAAAAAATCAGAGTAGTGTGGCGGAGTGGAAAAAGGAGTGGGTGAATAGTCAAGAAGTCTGTCTGGCTCTAGATGCTGATGTCTGAGAGTTAAACCCCCAGAGTGTCATGTCAGTTTCTATATCTGCAAATTGAGAAATTCAGTCTGGATTATCTTATGATCTTAGGTCTAGAATTACTTTCCTCTCAACTTTGAAGAGCTTCTATTTCACACTTTGGAATCAGGGGAGGTTTTAAATAAAAATACCTCAGACATGTAAAATGAGGATGATGATAATAAGCTAGAGCAAAGATTCAATAATACTTATTGAAAGCTATGTTCTGTTCTAGGGCCTAGATATAGTACAGAATAAGACTCAGAAAGTCACCAGCCTTGTGAACTTATATTCCTGGTGGAGGAAAGCAAACAAAACAAAATGACCTATTGTGATTAGTACAATGGAATAATAAGATAGTAGGATAGTACGATGAAGAGAGAAGAGGTGGCTAGGGAAAACCCCTCTGAAGAGGTGACTCTGATTCTGAATAAGCCAGTCATTGGAATAACTAGCAAAATTCATTCATTCGTTTCTTTAATGTCACACATAAAATACTTTCTAGATGCAGAACAGAGGGACAAGATTCTTCCCTGAAAAAATTTATAATTTTCCTTGGGCTATATTTAAGTACTGTAAGAAACCACATCGTAATTAGATGAGACTGAGAGAAACTCTATCTAGCTAGAGGATATATGTGAGTTGGCCCTTGAAAGATAGATAATTTTTGGCCATGGGAAGAAGTGATGGGGAAGGGTAAGGGCAGGAAAATCTATAATTTAGGCAGGAGGGGAAAAAAGGGGCTATGTATCCATATGTTCGGTGAAAAGTTGAGAGTGTGAGGGAAATAACAGGAAATGAAGTCAGAAAAGAACTGGGAGCAGACTGAGTTTGGATTTGATTTTATAGGGGACAGTGAAAGAAACAGTGAAGACTGAACTGGCAAAAAGGGAGACCAGTTGAGGCTATTTCCAGAGTCTGAGACATGAAGAAGAGACCCGAACCAAGGTAGAGATGAGAAGGGAGAGGATGAGAGAACTAAGACTGCGAAGTTGTAAGTAATGGGATTTGTCAACTAATTGAGTTTATGTGGATAGACTCATAAGCGAAAGAGTGGGGTGCTACAGAGATGAGTTAAAGAGGATGCAGAAGAAACAAACTCAGGGTATTAGGTCATTAGCTGTTTGCAATTCTGAAGTGCTATCACAGCACTTATGTACAACTGTCAAGAGACAGTTGGAAATATAAGACTGGAATGCCAAAGAGGTGAGAATTAGAGAGAGCAATTTTAGATAAGGCCACAAAGAGGAGAAACATTTATGAAATCCAGATCTCCTAGAGATTTAAAGAAAGAAGCAGATCAAAGATGGAGCCTATGAGACGATCTATTTTAGGGAACAATAAGAGTTGGAGAGGTAAGAAATTAGCAAGTACCAATACTGGAGAAATCAAGAGTACAGAATTAAGAATCCCATGCTAATAGTATCACAATGCTGCAGTGGGGAGGGGAAAACTCAGAAGAGTGCATTCGACTGATGCCTTTTAAGAATGCAGCTTTAATAGTGCGTGGACAACAAAAACCAAATTTCAGGTGGTCTATGGCAGGCGGTCAGGAAGAGTCAAAATGGAGATGACTCAAGAGGTTTGGGGGTAAAGATATGAAAAAAGGGATTGGGAAACACAACTGAAAAAAATTGAGATGGACAGACAAGAACATAAATGAAAGGAAGGATTCAGGGGGAGAAAGATAGAAGGGATGAAAAAAAAGGATATTAATGGAAGAAGGTTCCAGAAGCAGTGGAAAGAAAGTATTAAAAGACAAGCTAAAAGGGAAGAATACTTTCTACTCAATGAGAGGATGGGTGAAAATACAGAAAGAATAAAGAAGGAGGAGGATAAGAATGTGTGGGCAGGCAGTGAAGGATGCATATGAAATGGTTTTGCACCTTTCAATAAAGAAAGGGGCTTGGAATCTATAATAAAGAGATTAGAAGGTTTGAGAACAAATATCATTTTTAATATAATGAAAGGATGTGTTAGGGACTCAAATAATTCAGATTTATAACAAGAGGGCATCCTCAGAAAACTAAAACTGAAGATTTCATTACACATTACAAATAGGCTTGTACAGTGGTTATTTATATGAATTTGATCCGATTTACACTACATTTCCCTTCAATAGCAAAATCACTAATTTGGATTTAAAAATGACTTTAGACAATAAAAAGAGTTTAATTATACACTCACTCTTTAATTTGCATATACTATAACTGCAGAAATTGTAGTAACTTGTTTGGAACTGTGTGTAAACCATTTTGCAACAATCACAAATTAACGAGACATCGCACGATTAAAACGATTACAAAAATGCTGCTTGAGGAATAATTCACAGATGAGAGGTGGGCAAAAGGAAAGACAAGACAACTCTAAGTATCTCCTCTTTTGTACAGAACTGAGCTCTTCAGGACAATGATTAGGAGTAAGGGAGATCTTTTTAATAAAAGCAAAAAAAAATTGTCTTAAGGGAAAAAAAAGTGTGAAGTGACTCAGTCTTTCCAGAAAAGTCAATACCTTGTCTGGCAGTGAACTTTACTACCATAACCTGGAAATGCTAAAGACCCTCACAGTAAAAGAATACTGCAAATGAATACACAGCATAAAGCCTGTGTTTACTGCCAATGAAGTCCTAAAGCTGCTGTCTTAATATTTTCATTTCTTGATGAACCCTTTAAGCAGTCTCATCCATCCACCAGTAACAATGTGGTACTTCAGCTGCGTCCCTCGTAAGCAGGAGAGAATTCTATAGCTTGTGGCTGACACGCCCGTGAACTGGTATTGTCTGCGAGGGGCGGGATAGCAGGCTAGGAGCTGGGCAAACGGTGTGTCCCGTGGCTCCTCCATTCCGTGGAAGATGTTAACGCCAAACGAGCAGAACTGTGCTAAAAACACACCGCCCCCTGTCCCAAGCCCCCTCGAAAGAGGCACCCTTCGCAAGGAAGGCTCTCACCCCGGACTTCACCCGAAGGAGATGAACTACTTACTGTCAATGTCCTCGATGAGACTGGCGGTGCCAGGCATATAATTCATTTTGAGCTGAGATAAGGCTGCAATGTGTAGTGAGGGTGCGCCAGCGCGTCCAACACCTCCTCCCTCCTAACGTACCCGCCGCCTCCTCGGGACCGAGACAGGAACCCGAGCAAGGACCAGGAATCCTGCCCCGGCTTTCAGCCGCCGGGGCCTGCCGGAAACTCCTCCATATTATCTCCACCCACTTCCGGTATCACGTGCCCGGCCTCGGGAAGGGGCGGGCCGTGGTGCGATCCGCGGCTACACTTTCTCCCTTCCTGAAGAGAGGAGAAAAGGAATCTAGATTGCATAGGTGGTGGGAAAATGTACTCTCTCTTTTAAGGAACATCGTGTCGCTCCTGGTCTTCCTGCTTCTTAGACCCCAGCGTTACTGATCTCTGTTCTTCAACTCTCAGGCACGACAGCCGAACGGGCGGAACCGGCCCTGGGATTGGCTGTTGTCGTCCGACCCCCTTCATTGTTGTCCATTCCCTTTCGCTGGCATGAGCGTGCGCAATGGGCCGGCCGTGGGGGGCGGGAAGTGCCTCGGAGCAGGGAAACCCATGTCGGCCTTAAGGCGCTCGGGCTACGGCCCCAGTGATGGTCCGTCTTATGGCCGCTACTACGGGCCTGGGGGTGGAGATGTGCCCGTGCACACACCTCCACCCTTATATCCTCCTCGCCCTGAACCTCCTCACCCTCCCATTTCCTGGCGGGTGCGCGGCCCGGCTGAGACCACCTGGCCGGGAGAAGGCGGAGGAGGTGATGGCTATTATCACTCTGGAGGCACCTGGACAGAGCCGGGTCGACCTGGAGGAAGCCACCAGGTAAGCTTTGCGCCATCTGCCCAGGGGAGGTGGGAAGGTCTAATAGGGGGTTCTTTGGAGGTAAGGGCCATTGGGATTGATATACCTCCGGAGTTCGTAATGGATCGGGTATCATATTTGTTTTCCTTTTGGTTGGGGGGGGTTGTAGAGATACGACTGGGGTCGTGGGTGGGGTATGCTTGTGTTCTCTTTGCCCTCCTTTTCTGCTTCGACTATAATAAATGTTTATTACCATCAGAAAGGAAAAAAAAGATTCTGCGCTGACTTGCTAAGCTCATTAGAGGACGCGGAATCTCTCGCCTGGGAAGGATTTGGGGCTGAAGTGACCCGGCTCTGATTTTTGAGCTCTAACACAATTTATCCTGCGTGGCTTGTCAGGCCGGCTCTTCTCCAAGAAGGGAGGTGGCTGCAGCCCCCGCCGTCACTCAGCAACACCCCCCGCCCTCCCGCGGGGAAGGAACGTGAAAGAAGGGGGAGGCGATCTGGGCATTTAGCCGTTTGCCCCTAAAGCTTTGCCCGGGGTTGAATCACGAATTATCAGTGTTTTAAAGCACTTTTACATGGATTATTTTATTTAATCTTCACGGTGACTGTAACATAAATGTTTTTACGGCGTCCCTATTTTACGATTAAAGAACCGTTGGCTCTGAGAGGATAACTCACTTGGTCAATATAGTCGGACCTACAACATTTTATTTCTTGAATTCCTGCCAGAAATATGCAGTACTTCGTTTTATTAATGCAGTATTCATCGTAGAGAATTATCATTATAGGGTGGGGGGCACATCTCTCCTTTCCTTCAGGAATTATAACATCCTCATTGTTGGAAAATGTAGTGAAATTCCCATACGTTGCTAGTGGGGATGTGAAATGGTTCAGTGCTTTGGAAAATAGTTTGGCAGTTCCTCAACACGTTAAGCATAGAGTTAGCATATTACTCAGCAAGTTGGCTCTTAGATATATTCCCAAGGGAATTGAAAGTATGTTCACATAAAAACTGTACACACATATTCATAGCAGCGTTATTTATAATAGCCAAAAAGTGGAAATAACCCAAGTGTTCATCAACTGATGAATAGGTAAAGTATGGTATATTCATACAATGAAATTAGCCATAGAAAGGAATGAAGTATTGATATGTACATTCCAGCACATGGATGAACCTTGAAAACTTCACACTACATGAACAAAACCAGTGAAAAAGACCACATAGCATATGATTTCATTTACATGAAATGTCTAGAATATGCAAATCTGTAGAGACAAAGGTTAGTGGTTCCAGGGGCTGGGGGACTGAGGACATTGGGAGTGATAAGTAAAGGGTATGGAGTTTCTTTTTGAGATGATGAAAATATTCTAGGATTAGTAATGATTTCATGACTTTGAATTTACTAAAAACTATTAAATTGTACACTTTAAAAGGGTGGGTTTTATGGTATGTTATGTCTTTAAAAAATTGTATGCGAAAATCATAGTGAAAGTTCCATATTTTCTGTCTAAATCTGGAGTAAGTAGCCTGTGGGACTTTAATCCCATGGTAGAGTAATGAAATGCTTGGCCTATAAGTAGGCAAACTAGACTGAAGATAAGTGAAGGGAAAAAGGAGAGGATCACTAAACTGATGACCTCTACTTGGGCTTGCCGTATTACCCAAACAAAGGTGCGTTTTCAGGGTAAGGTTAGAGAAGTTAAGATTTTAGTAACGTGTAATTGTAAGGTATGGTTGGAGCATAGGCATGCACATAGAGTGAGTGGTGGTACTGGAGTAGTTGGAGATAAAGCTGGAATGTATAATAGGCATTTGTAGAGCATATCATGAGTTTATTTTTCAGGTTTCTGAAAGTTGAAAAGTATAGGATTATAATTTATGCAGCAATAGAAAGTTAATACAAAAATATGCATATTGTCACAGATGTTACAACTGTTTTTTCCAAATTCATTGTTTTGTCTTTTAACTTTATCGTGGTTTGGACATACAAGTTTTACATTTTTATATAATCAAATATGTCAAACAAAAAAAGTACAGGAGATTTTTAAAACCTTACTACTCAACAAGTGTGGTCCTTTGACCAGAGCTTCATTGTTGCTTGGAGGTTGTTAGAAATACAGACTCTCCTGCTGCAGACTTACTGCTGCAGTTTAATAACAACCCCCCAGGTGATTCGTATGCATGTTTATGTTTGAAAAGCACTGCTTTATAGAATTTTGAGATGATGTTGCACTGAATCACTACAAAGACTTGACTCTATCTTTACATATTTAAATATGGCAGGGAAAAAAATAGAAATCTACTTCTTTCTGTTTTCTTTTTTTCTTTACCTTGTTAACTATACTTACAGCACTGTAGTTTGATCCCTGAACTAGCAGCATCTGCATTACCTACAAGCTTGTTGGAAATGCAGTATCTCAGGCCTTGCCCCAGACTTAGCAAATCAGAATGTGCATTTTACTAAGATCCCTAGATAATTTACATGTTCTACCAGATCAAATCATAGATAGATAGATAGATAGATAGGGCACAGATGCTCTGAGATAGAAGCTAGAAGGCACAGATTAGATTATATCCTAATCTTGGAAGTGATATACTCTCATATTGGTCATAGAAAGCAGCCCTGGTACAATGTCTGAGGCCAGTTCACAAGGATGTGAATACCAGGAGGCAGGGATTATTGGGAGTCATCTTGGAGGGGGATTACAAATTACAAAGGAACGGGGAGACTGACAGCTCAATTAGGCCCCCAGAGTAGTTCAGAAGAGAGGTAAAAAGGCATGCGTTTAGACAAGTTTTTATTCAACATTTTCAAACATACAGAAAAGTTGAAAGAATTGTGCAATGAATACCCATATATCCCCACCTAGGTTCTGTAATTAGTATTTATTATATTTGCTTTATCACATCTCTTATTTTTTGGATGTATTTCAAAAACAAGTTACTAGAGTTAATAGAGTTAAAAGATATTTTCAAAGGTGTATATCAATTGGAAGCAAGGGATGAAGGAGAAACAGAAGGTGATTGAGGTTTTAGTATTTGATAGGAATAAAAAGGAAGAGGAACAGGTTTTTATGGTTTAGTTTTTTACCAAAAGAACTAGCGATTTGTTAATAGAAGAGCTTTAAAAAAATATGAAATACAAAGAGCTGGCAAGAGTTTATGTACTGCTTTTATTTCATTTCTGTTGGAAGCCAGTTAGTCACAGTGGTTAGTCATGTGCCAAGCTCTGCATGCAATGTATGCGATTGATTAAAAAGAAGTTTGTGATTTTCCTGTTGTTGTTTTTAATGTCAAATTTTAGAGTCTTTGTGGCATCCAGGAGTTGTTGTCTGTGGGAACAAAACAATAGATGTAGGGGGGCTCAAGGGGGCTCACGGGGGCTGGAGATAATGAGTTGAGAGTCATCAGATATCAGCATAGATGAGTTACCAAACGGTACCTTTTCCTGGGGAGGTCTTTGGGAGTCTAGTATAGGCAACAGCTTAAAAGGATCCAAAAGAAGACAATGAGAGAATTCTCAGAAAGATAGTAGGAAAGTTGCGCAATGCAGACCAAGCAAGGATACAATTATTTTGCAGGTAAGTGATAGGAAAATTGAAAAGAAGCTGTAGGATTTGGTAATTAAAAAGGTATTGTTGATTTTCACGGTGGGAGTTTAAAATAGTGTTAAAGTAATGAGTGGGAGGTTTGGATGAGAAGATAGTGTAGACTGTACTTCCAGAAGTTAATAAATGAGAAAGTGGTCACTTGACTGGGAACCAGGATTGAGGGAAGAATTTTTAGGATTAGGTGGCTTGAGTATGTTTAGAAGCAGAGGAGAGTAACCTAGTAGACTGAGAAAAAAGATGTAAACAAAGGGTTGGCATATGGCTTGGGGAGAGGAAGATTAAGAAGTGAGGAAGAGTTGAGACACCTTCTCAAGCTTAAGGGGCATAGAGTAAGTTGAGTTCAAGGGGAGGGACACTGAGGAGTTTATAGCTCTTGGTGTCCTTTCTTGGTGAAGCAGGAGGCTAGGTCACTTGAGAGTAAAGGAAGCGAGATGCAGTAAGCTGGGAACTTGATATGGTAAATGTTTGAATCAGGTGCTGGGGAAAGGTGGAAATTGGAAATTGTTGAGAAGCATGGGAGACATTTAAATGAAATTTAAAATAAATTTGTGATAATGGTCAAAACGTGCTTTCGATGGTCATAAAATGTTTTTTAGTGATTTTGGAATATATACCTATAAAAGTAATTTATACTGTACTTTTCTAATAATTTTTGTCTAATTCTTGTGAAAAATATACACCAATTTGTAAATGGAACTTAGGTAGTAGCAGCAGTAATCAGATTCCTCTGCTGATAGATTTGTTTGGGCTGGAGTAATTTGTTTGGGCGGGTTGCTAAGTCACTTTATAAATTTAACCATATATTTACTTTTTACAAAACTTGTTAGTTCTAAGATAAATATGAAAGGAGTTGACTCCAGCCTTCATCTGAGATTTAGGCATTTCTTCTTCTCAGAAGAAAGTAAATAAATTTATTATCTTCTTACATAATTTTAATCAAATTTACTTTGCCACAAAACTTTAATTCACATTATTACCACTTGTGAAAACCATTTATCATCTCTAATTTACATCATCATTTATCACCTTTGTCTAGTTTCAGAAAACAAAAAATTTGGAAAGAGTTCGGCATGTGATAAAATTGGCAACTTGGTTTATAGAACAGAGATTAGCTTCAGCAGCTTCCTGGGAAACCAGATGCTATTTCATAGAATTAGTGTCATGTTAGGAGGTGTCATGAGCTGCAGACTTTCATTGTTACCGAGGATATTTTTAGATTTGTTCCCTTTTGTCTAAAAAGGGAGAAAAAAGTGAAGACAGTCTTTTTTATTAAGACTTAAAGAAATTAATAATTTTTGTCACTTCATTGAGGACTTTTTTTGTTTGTTTAAAATTATGGTATATTTATATACTATAAGGTTTACTTTTTTAAAGGTATGGTTCTGTGAGTTTGACAGATG